GGAATGTACCACGTCCACGGTTCAACTTTGGAAATGATCATGCAGACAATGGACTTCGGGCTAGGTACATTCCTCTAAGTCTTCTTACCAATATGACCATGTTGCGAAAACAAGGTCAAACAACTTCTATACCTAGGTTTATTTTAAGACTAAATGAGAAGAATGCTGATGATAAATCCACATTTTAACCTTCAGACTAGATTGATTCTTGCCCAGAGAGGGTAACGTGACGTACTCAACAATTGGTTTATTAAATGAACTATTTCCCAAACACATAAATCCAGTGATTAAAAATAAGGGCCTGATACTCAGGTGTTAGGATTCTTCTACAAGAAGACAAACTGAGAATCTGAATCTGAAATTAATTTATCAACAGTGGGCTTAATTTTGCTTGCTCAGACAGGTTGCATCTTCACTCCAATTATAAAGCGTAGCTCCACGTAGTTGTAGGCAGAGATTGAAGGGCTATCATTATAGAGGGCTTCCATGCTCATTGGGAGAGCATGTGTCCAAATGAGAAGAGTGGAATGACACAAAGGATCAGTATAAGGCATTTTTCCTAATCGAAATCCAAGACCGCATACTTTCTCAATAATGATAGCGGTGGGAGTTATACCGAGTCTATCAGTTTTAGCGCTATAGGTGAATATAGATTATTTGTCTATAAAGTCAAATGTAAATCCATTGACTTGGTTATTATAAGTAACTTCATTTTAACCATTTGTGAGAGCAAGCTTAAAGCTATTATGTAAGAATGTGCTAAAAATGTGTGTTCGAGCGTTTATAAAATATGCCCAAAAAATAAGCTGAAAAGAAGATGTGGAATTCTTTTTTATAATTTGTATGTATTTATCCCTATATATATATATATATATATTAGTGGGATCAACCTTCAAATCTCTTCACCATACACTTTCGCTCAAAATGGAAGTAAGCTCAACAATTATGAAACAAGAGATTCCACGAAACCCAACTTTTTTTCGTATAAATTATATAAGCAAGTTCGAAATTTTGATAGTTGAAGGCTGTCACAAGGGTATATAATAGGTGTATACACCAGGACAGGAGAGAGAGAGTTTGACAGACAATTGGTCAAGGTATCGACTTCACTTGTCTTTTTGATAAGTTGGTGTGGTGCTAAGACTGGCAAGGTTCACTGACAATGCCAACTATGATGCGAGCACAACATCTGGGAATGTACCAAGTCCAGGGTTTGATTCTAGAAATTATCGTGTATTCAAGGTACATTCCTCTAAGTCTTCCTGCCAATATGACCAAATTGCTTAAGCAAGGTAAAACAACTTCTTGAATCAAGTTGAATCAAGAGTATTCTCTGCAAATTTGTTGAACTAAGGCTGCGTGGTTATGGGTTATAATCCCACCAGATGAAGTTAGCATATGCAGACGAGTTCGAAGTCCCGGTCAACTTTGAATGCGGATGCATTTACAAGAGCAAACTTGGAACGAATTGCATCTGAAAAATCAATCTTCCTCCAGACTAAAGCATGCACAGATCTTTATCTATCTACTTAGCATAGAGTGAAGAATGGTGCATTCTCGCTTCCAACCCAGCTTCATTTTAAGCGAATTATTTATTTTTTATTAGAGTGTCGAATCCTATTTAAATGATATCAAGTGTCTAAACAAGCCGATGGATTTCAAAGGTTGCTCACCATGCTCCGTCTCATGTCTGGCCTCGATATGCTGATCATAGATTTTCTTAGCAGCCTCAATTTCCTCCTGTAGAAGTTCAAGCAAGATGAGGTATTTGTGCTCAAAATCACGTCTGATGACCGGCCGATCAAGCAAGCTGCCAAAAATCGTTATTATCTGTGGGGCAAGATAAGCAATACATTAGGGATACAGTCAATCGAGGTATTCTTCAGTATGTATCGGAAAGGGCTTCACTAATCACCATATAAATGCAACAAAGGTAGGTATATATATATATATATAATATGAAATTTCAGACACGATTTTTTAGCCTTAAATATGTACAAATATACTTAGGATTATGTTAACCTACTCAAAATAACTTAGTTTTACTATTCGAAATGAACCTGGTCAAATTAATCCAGACTTTCCTACTGAAGCCCCCAGCAGTAGTCTGAATAGAAGTGAAACTTCATGTTAAATTGACCATTATTTATAAGCGTACGTTCAGATTTGCTAATTCACGGTAAGGCCATTACGCTATGTTACCATTTGAATGTCACATTAGCTCAAGATGGTATTTATTCCAGCGCTGACAGGCCGTCATGGCGACTGGACTTAACCATTTATGAATAATCACATAAATGCACAAATAACACCAAAAAATCCTTACTGAGATCCGAAATCGATTACAATCTGCTAGCTTAATGCCAGGAGTTTGCCCAGTCTGACAAAGTTAGAAGTTTGTTAGAAAAGTGTTCGTTTCGATCTGCTTTGCTATTAGAGTTAGCATATAGTAAATAGGAAATGGAAGACAGAATGCAAAGATTATAAAAAAATAGGCGGAAAATTAAAGATTCATTATTGGATTACTTTGACAATTTATAAGTTGATTTCGTTTTAAAATATTTTGCGTTTACTTTTTCTTGCTGTAATTATCTATTTGTACATTTATGCTCATATTATCTTGATCAGTTGCAAACTGGCTAAAACTTTCTTGTATTGTGATGTGTGTACTAGTGCAAAACGTAGCCTAGCCTAAGTGGGCCTAACCAATCTCGTGCTATCCCAGATTGGTCTTCAAGAATCCTACTCTATAAAAGTTTACATCAATTATATTCTCTTCTAAGGCTTAGAATTTCCTGTTTTTACAATTTCATTATGATGTGCGTGTTCATAAGACTTCGGCATGGTGAGAATTTGATTGCTATTATATGGCTATTTTTTACATACAATTATCTACCCCGTGACTAATTATTGCTTCATCTTCACTTAGGTCATTTGTTAACTGTAAGCACGAGGGTCGTTACGTTTTGGTTAGTTATGATTGCAGTCATAGAGAATGGCTTTTCTTCTGAATACATGGAATTTGGTTTTCGGATGCTTTCATTAGGCAAAGAGTTTGGTGCTTATATTGAGGGAAAAAGAGCATACTTAGTGCAACCCACTCTATGCAATAAACATATGTCTCCTGAAAAATCCAGAATCTGGCCTGAATTTCTGCTCCCCAGATGTGTAAATAGCAATAGTTTTAGGATAACGCATTTTCATAATCTTGAGAAGGATTTCCTGTTCGGGAATCTTATTCTTCACAGTGTTGCT